TCTTGTGGTGAATACGTTTTTGTCTAGGGTTTTATCTCTTACCAACTTTTATCATCCCTTTATATAAATTTCAAATCCAATACAACAAGGAAAAGGAAAAATCCTAAATGGGCTAGTTTTAAAATTTTTAATTTTAAACAAATCTCTTTTATGAAAATCTTGATATCCTTTAAATTTAAAATTATTTAACAAGAAATCTAGATGGTTTATTATAACTTTGATAGGAAACATATTTATTATGAATTTGATATGAAACATTAAAAATTTATGATTTGATCCACTTGACAAATTTCCTAAGATTATCATGTGAAATACCATCTTTTGCTATACTTTTCACCACAATCTCTTTAACCATCATAGCTCGCTTTTTATATTCTCCATCGTCTCCCATGATCTCATCGATCTTCTTCTTCACTTCTAACCTCGGAACCATTCCTCGCTCGTCTCGTTCAAGCCCTAATCCAATCTTCCACACATCACATATATATTCTTTGTTGATAAACTGATCTGCAAAATAAGGGATACATAAAAATGGTATCCCATTTTCAGCTCCTTCCAAAGTTGAATTCCAACCACAATGGCTCACGAAACATCCAATGGCTCGATGCGAAAGGACCTCACGTTGTGGAGCCCATCTCACCAGTTTGACCCGATCCGACACGAGTTTTAAAGGTGGTTGATCGCCCGAGCCGGTGACCCACAAGACCGGCCTATTGAGTCAACATGTAACTTAAATTAGATCATAGACACACACAAAGAGTTAATTAAGAAAATAAACCGGAACCACCAACCCGGTTATCTCAAAATCCTTACCTCTTGGTAAGCTCTAAACCAATTGCTAGCTCCTCTAATTGCGCCTTACTCATAAACCCAAAACTCCCAAAGGCAACATATACCACCGAACCGGGAATCTGCCGGTCCAACCAATCTAGACAATCCCGGTCCTGAGGTAAAAAGCTTCCCAGTGACGTGGATTCACTATGAGCCCAACCAATGGGCCCAATTGGTAATATTTTTGGGGAAAGTCCAAACGCTGCCGTTTCTAGTTCGTACACAGAGTTACACAACAACCAATCCGTTGACTCGATTGACTTATTGTTTTGAAGCATAAGTTGAAATATGTTCCTCTGAGATTCTCTGTTCTTCAGACAAACCCACACAAACTTGTCTGTTTCCATCTTTGGCATTGCAGGACACAGTTGAATTGACTTATTTACCCTTGGAGTCCCTACAAATACCAAAACCGATAGTTATAAGTACTGGTTATAACTTATACTAAAGGTTAATTATCTATGTATATATATTTCAACTACTAATGAACCAAAAGAATATTGAATTCTATTTCTAGAAATGTTATATGATAAATTTGATAATTTCTTGGCTACTTAGATCAATTCGGTTTCGGTTTACTCTGATAAACCGGATTGATCTAAGTTGATCTTTTCTTACCGTCAGGATCAATGAGACCATCATCGACTAGTTTCTGGATACTAAATCCAAGAACCATAGTCGCAGCCGCGGCGGGACAAAACGCGGCTCGTCTGATCCCAAACTTAGCCGCAACTTCAATTGCCCATCCCAAACTCTGATCAGCCACAATGCAGCTAATGATCGGACCGTCACGTTCCGAGATCATCCTCTCTATCAGTTCTTCTACTTTGGTAGGCATAAAACTCAAAACAGATTCAGACAACTTCCCGGGAATGTTCCTTTCTTCTGGTGAATCTTCTAAACCGTCGGGGATCGAAACAAGTTTGATCCGATCCCCCATGTAATCATCGTGGGATGATTTGGATAAGGAGTTGATTATGAGATTATGGTTAAACTCGGTGTTTATGAATGTAATTTGGATTCCTTGATACGCAAGGTAACGTGAGAAGCTCATTAAAGGAAGTACATGGCCTTGTGCTGGGTAAGGTATGACCATAACATGAGGCCTTCCCATTTTCTTAAAAAGTATATTTTGGTTTTGAATAAATTTACTATACAAATAACATTTCATTCATTATAGAAGAAATTTTAGAAGATGAAGACATAAAAGAATATTGGGCTGAAACGACAAAGTATCTTTTTGTAATTGTTAATTAAATTTTGTCGTTTTTCTTTTGGAATCAAAACTAATTTGATGCTCACAGAGAATAAATTAGCTTAGTTGAACAAGTCAATAGAAAAATTCATGAAGTATTTCGCTTAAACACCAGTAAATATGGAAAGAAGAGGAAAAAAAGACCGACTAGATTTGACTAAGCCCAGTTTTGGCCCTGTTTTATTTAGGGCTTCTTTGTCTTCAGTTTGTTGTTACATCTAAACACATAGCCTTAACGAAAACCCTAGTTGCAAATTGAAACAATGACGATCTTAGATCTTCCAAGGGATTTGGTAGAGGAGATTATCTCTAGAATCCCCTTGAAATCTATGAGAGCAGTTCGATTAACTTGCAAAAATTGGGACACCTTAGGAAGAAGAAAAAGCAAGGGAAGGAGAGTCTCGTATCATCGTATTGATGAATTACACTCGTTATCTAACGAGCGTGAACGTCCATCTACAGAGCCTAAAGGTAAACTTAGTTGCCTTAACGAACAAGTCAAAATATCTGATGCCTTTCACTGCGAGGGTTTATCGCTCTGCATCTTGGAAGACAAGAACTTTACTCTTGTGGTTTGGAATCCGTATTTGGGGCAAACAAGGTGGATCGAACCAAGATTTTCTTACCGTTACCCATACAAAGAATTCGACAGGTACATGTACGCACTAGGATACAAGAGTAAGAAGAACAAATCTTGTCGTAGCCACAAAATCTTAAGGTTTCTTGATTTGAGGTTTAAGGATCTGTGGTTTATTAATGATAACCTCGGTGTACACGAAGACGGCATTTTATGATCTACAATTTCGACTCTGGTTCTTGGACGACTCTTGATGTCACTCCGAACTGGAGTATAGAATTTGATGACAGATAGATACTCAAACAGTGGATCCGCCTATCACATTATTTGTTTTGATTTTACAAGAGAGCGATTTGGATCGCTTCTTCCTTTGCCGTTTACCACTTTTAAATTTAACAATGACGTTTTGAGTTTATCTTGTGTTAAAGAAGAGAAGCTTGCTGTTTTCTTTCAGTATGAACTTGACCATCCTTCC